CCCCCATCCCCTCCCCCCTGAAAAAGGATAAATATATCGTGTTGGCGACATTGTGGTTTTCTATTATTTATCAGAGAATAAATTTCTGAAAACAGTTTATTTTTAGGTGAAATTGCTTGAAATAGATTCTTATTCTCGGGCCAATCGCTAGATAATTTTGTATCTAGCTTGAATCAGGAAGCGCTAACAGATAACTGTGATCAATTAAGTAAATCTTAATAAATAGATTTAGCTAATGCTTTTTTGGGATTTTCTATTTAGGATATAATACTTTAACAAACAAAGAAGGAAACAACTGAAAAGGATGATACAAAATGTGTAAGGCTTAAATATGTCGGATTCTTAATAGATTAAAACACACAAGAAATGATTGAAAATGGAATGATTCGTCACGTAACAATGCTCCGAAACAAGCTGCCGTTTATAAACTATTTCCAGTAAAGCGATTTATTTTCGTATGCTTAKGTTGAAGATAAATAAAGATAGATAGCATATTTGATATACGCATTGTAGCCAGTAGGCGGAATTGATTGAAATCTTACAAGCTTAAAATGTTGTAATTCGACTATTCAAAGTATGGCACAAATTCATTCCGCCTGGCATCCAATAAAATTTTCAAAGAGGTTTATTTTCTCACAAGAGCAATTATTTAAATATTATGTTTGAAACTAAAATGTTATTAAGTGCATAAAATGAAAGTGTACATTTTAACAAAAAAATTGAATTGTCTAAAAACGTATAAATATCTTCGTCCAATTAAATCAGTTCCTTCAAATCAACGAAACATCTTATTAGAGAAGACGCGATTTCTCAAGGGAATATGTAGCCATTATGGGTTGGGCAAAGGACAACAAAATATCGCGTTAAGTACATGCTTATTCATTATTGAAAATACTTGRAGTAATAGTGCCAAAATTAGTGGTCGAGAAAAACAACATATCTAGATCCCATTATGTCCAAGGGAGTAAAATAACAAAAGCCACGGCCGCCATGTTGGAAGATTGAAGAATTCATTGAATTTTTTTTTGTCAAATTCTTTCAAGATGGCGGCAATTGCAAGCGCTAGTCTTAAGTTGTYGTTAACGATGGCTTAGATAATTGAATCCTGTGAATACCCGGCTTAATACTATAAAACTTTTAAGTAGATAAAGTATAATAAATGCAATATAAAGTTATTTCAAATTTAGTTATTTCAGTTGAATGAAGCGAACGGGGATCGGTGATTTTCCCTATTTGACCGAAAGGACTTGTGGAGTAATAAGAACTTCTTCATAATCATTTTTTAAAATATGAACAAGGCCTGCATTATTCAGAGGCGGCCATTGTGGTGCCGTTTACAATGGATGCTAATGAGAAATCTTTTGTTAAATGGCATCAACATGGCCGCGATGACGTAACGTGCAAACGAAGAATTGGTGAAGCAGTGAGGCATTAGTATTAGAGTAAACATAAGAAGAATTATGCGTAAAGGTTTTGGAAGTGTAAACAAAGAGAATGACTATTGTCTTAGTTTGTGGTTTTGATGTTATCTGGTAAACATCGGCATTCGTTTTATGTAGGAGTCACTAGAACATTCATCAGTTGTACTGTTTTGTTATYATTTGTATGTTTGTCAAGGGTTAATTAAAATCTTGCAATTATAATATGTAGGTATTTATTAAGTAAATTATTTGAATATGTTTTAGGAGCTAAAATCTTATTCTCCACGTATTTCACTTGCCCAACTATCCATGAATCCATCTATTACAGCAACCTACCAACACTCCAACCCACCCCCACCCACCCACCCACCCACAACCAACATCCATCTTTCTACCCTCCAAACCATTCATCCACTCATCCAACCAACTAAACATTTGCCAATCCATCCTTCCATCCATCTATCTATCCATTTAACAATCAACCTAGTCCTTTTCCGCCCATCCAACCATTAACAGATCTAGACTTAACAGCCGCCATACACTGACCTTTCATCTGTTGACTCAGCTCCGACAATTTTTCTATTTATTCATACTCTCTCTCTATCCTATTCCCATTCATTCACATATTTTTACGTTTTATTTTGTTTTCCATACAGTTGTATATTTTTCAAAATGAGAAAGAAAAATCTAGATTTTTCTGTTTCTTAAACCCAAGCAACGAATTGCTTTATTAAAAATATCTAGAAACCATAAACCCAACGTATTTGTTATACCCTTGTCAGCGGGATGCTGCAAACAAAATAACTCTTATTGAACCAACTCACACGAAACAGAAACGTTTGCTCAAGACTTAAARAACCTGCTAGAAAAATAATTACACAGCCCCAATATATCTAAATAAGATAGCAAACTTTGTAAGCTATACCTTTTTCGCTAAAAAAAAATAATAAAACAGGTAAATTATATCTGAGCCTCATTAACGGAATTTATGTTTTTATATCATTTTCTATTTGCTTCCATRGAAACAAAAAACCGACATACAGGTCATGTCCAGCGGTCAGTAAGAGTCGATGTTTAATCACGTGGTGTGCCACAAGATGACAAGTTGTTTCCATGGTTACTAACGGACAATTTCAGCGAAGTTTCAGATTTCCCTTCTTAATAACTTTCTAAAATATTGTTAATATTTTTAAAAGAAATCTTAATTAAACCAAAACTTTATTGAAGAAATCGATATAGGACGATAAATGGTGTTCGTTTTTCATCGACTTTTTTCGCAACTAAAGGCCGACAAACGGTAAAGCTGTTATAATATTTTACCAACTTTGTCAACATTGAAAAACAAACAGTCTAACAAGGCAAAAACAAAAAGCTATATTACTTTGAGTAACAACAGAATATAATTAAGGAAATCTGGCGGGTTTCTAATAAAGAATATACCAGTGAATGAGACAGTATTGAATGTTCTTTGATATTTCACGTTCCCTTATTTGCAAATATGAACGTCTTTGATATGACCGCTAAAAACCGTCCATCAATATAATATACGGTAGTCAACGTAAATTTCGCCTTTTATTGAATAAAATAATGTAATCAATAGAAAAGTGCGGCCCTCTTTACTCCGACCACAAACTCTCTATTCCGACCTCTTAGTGACCAACAAAGGCAAATAAATAAGTTAAAAATTAAAGTACTATAGCTTAAAACAAGAACTTTTATTTGACCGTTGGTATTCCAACCCTTTACCTAGACCATTAAAGTTTAGGAATAGAATAAACTTATGTTTTTTTAAAGATGTTTTTACGCTTGAGAACACGATTTAAATGGATTTAGTGGTTACTGCAGCTAGGAACAGTAGATGCGACTCGAAAACGCCGAAACCTTTAGTGGACAGAATCCAATGAAGTCAAGGAATAACGCTTTAGAATTCGAAGTCCTAGCCGGTCGAATCGTTCTCTTTATTTCTTTTTTTTTTTTTTCGCCAAAAGAGAGAGAGAGAGAGAAAGAAAAGAAAGAAAATAGAAGAAAAAAACTATGAACAATTAGAAGGAAAAAAAGAAAGCAACTATTTGAAGTTAAACTGCATGCTGAAACTAGTTTCGGTATTGTACAAAAGAAATGAYCTTGAACTTTGAAGCCTATCATAATCATAGAAAATGTTTCGCAAACCTCTACAAGAGCCAATCAAATAAACCGAAAACAATCGAAGACCTCTCCAAATATGGTCACTGACGTCATAGCTAATTGCTTTAGGACGTAACAAGATTGAACTTTTTCTTGTGAGTTTACTTTAGTAATGCAGTATAGTCATTGGGAATAACGATTCTTGCTGGTAAGAAACGTATCAGTGAAATGTAAAGAGTGTTTGAGTCTACCGAAGTTGCGGATTGAATCTAACTGTTTAGGACAGAAGTGGAGATTTTCATTAATGAATGAGATGAAGTCTTCTATTAGGCAGGGGAATGTTAGGAAATTAAAGATAAGTAAATCACGTTTTCTCGGTCATGCAGGAGAGCACGCCACGGACTGTCGGTAAATCTCGCAAACCTCTTGAAACCAGACAAGGAAATCAACTGTTTACAGAAACTAATCTTTTGCCGGTGACATATACAGCGATGCGTAGGAAYTGTCTTCCTGCCAGTCGGAAGCGAAGATTTCAGATTCGCAGTCTGGGCGCAGCGGTTTAACGCCTGTGCATGCGTAAGAGCTAATTTAATTTCTCAAAATAATCGCGTTTTCCCTCCTCATTTTTTGACCTAATTCGAGAGGATAACGACCAGACTCCGCGAAGTGGATTAACATAAGAGAAACCATTGCTGGCTGATTATATTGATATAAATCAGCCATTCATTAGTTAAAGAACTTACAAAACTCTCCATTGACAAGCCAAATACTGCCAATCAAAAATTAATTTACAAGATTTCAACTCAGCAGATGAATAAGATTGGGATTTTTAGCCAAGGCACGTAGCATAAACAAAAATTCCGCCACAGCCCGCAAATTACGTCATATGGTATGACGCAAATTTCTAAGAAATGTGACGTAAGAAGTTAGATTAGAGTAAAGATTGAACAAGTGGTCGTTGACTTACGATTAGCGTATCATTGCCTGATTCCAAGTATCCTTCGGCCTTGTCCASTGCGCCAATTGATGCGTAATATTTGGACCACCAGTCGAAAGTGTCTTGTTCACTCTGTGAGACAATATGAAAGTTTAAACATATAAACCAGTGATAGACCGTAAGGCCGGTTTTATTTTATTTTTTTGTTGGTTCGGCGTTTCAGGGGTGCAAACAAAATGGCGGATCTTTTTATTTGAGTTCCCCCCCCCCCCCCCTGCGGTTAATCTACGCGCCCCTGTGTTTACCGACTTAGGGCTAGCCTCATTTCATCACCAAAGTATTCACAAATAACAACGGTAAAATAAAGCAAGTACGACTTCAACGACACAAACACCTTGAATATCAAAGGAATTTTTTGGAACACGTAAATTTTCTACACAATTTCGCGATTTTYGCGCGTGTGTGGGGTGGGTATTTGTGTGTTTTGGCCGCCATGCTGGGTACTTAGTCATCCAACATGGCCGCCATGATTATTTCTATAGTATTTAACKATCCGTGAGTGCAACACAAGGACAACTACGTACCCGTTTCGTGTCTTCTTTGATACTAAGCTCATACGCAGCATCAGTCATCATTTCCTCAGATTCTAAAAATATAAGAAACACCATATAAAAAACCTATCAACTGAGCTATCGAAGAGAGCAAACCTAGGCAGTGAATCGTCTATCTTTACGAAGCTACAACCGGATCCGAGCGACGTAGTTTCACGTACCTTTTTTTTTCCAGTGAAGATTCATCGTTTGTAATTTTGATTGAACGTATGATGTTTTTTCACTAGTGAAATGTTATCGTTCGCGCTTTTGATTGACCAATTTTAATTTTCGTATCATTTTTATCTAGGGAATTTGCTATGAGTAAATCTCAGTACCTATGAAATAGATGAAATTCTTTACATTAACTGACCTCAAGCGGCTGCAATTTTCAAAACCCCTTAATTTGTCTTAACTTAGGTGCCTTCAATCTGGTAGTCCAGCGGAATTTTTAACTAGGCATGCCTTTCTGATCCTGACTAGATGGGGAAGGTTTGATTAAAGATTTTGGTATATCAGAAGGGAAGGGTTGGGGAGGAGAGTTCGAAATGCAAGGTTTGGTCAAACTCAAAACAAAAAGCTTCCAAACGATCCGCCATAGGTCGTAGTTGTCATTTACCTTGTTCAGAGATGTTTTCATCCTTAGGAGTCTGGAATCTGTAGCGCTGTAAGGACCTCAAGCAGYGTATCCCTACGATAGGATGGCGTCCGAAAGACCTGTTGTCTCGAACTTTGATGTTCATTGGTGGAACGTACAGTTCTTCTTTGGGTAAAAACTGGAAGAAAGAGAAATCAATACGGATTTCTAACGAGAAAAACATTTCCAGAGCTCTCATTTATTTGATTGTAATGCCAAAAAAAATCCTGTCTCTCCCCTTTCCACCCTTTTCTTATTAATAAAGTAATAGTAAACGCGCGCGCAAACTACATGCAGTTATAAAGCACACTGGGGTTGGAAGAACATGAGAGAAAAGTTAGGAGAAGTATGACGCGTAACGGAGTGATTTTCGACACTTCTCAAGTGTTCTGTCAATCCCCATGTGCTTTATAACTCCACACAGCACAGCAAGCAAGTTTTTATTTTTTATTTTATAAAATACAAATTACAATAACCTTTTTTTAGACACGAATGACATAACTGAAAATGCGCGCGCGTGCTGTGTGCTTTTATGAAACACGCGCTCCCAACCAATCAGAATGCAAGATTTATAACAGTTATTTCATAATTGCTCTTAATGCACATGTTAATAAAACTGTTAATTCTTCTTATCTTTTATTGTTATTTAGCATCAGGCAAGGAGTGGTTGTTTCGTCCCTCATGCCAGACGTTCATCACTAAAGCGCTCGACGCCAGTGTCATCCAGTTGAGATTTAGAAGTTATATTTTTGGAGGGAGAAAAACCGRAGAACCTGGAGAAAGACCCTTGAAGCATAGGAGTGAACCAACAAGCAGTTCAGTTCAACAGAAGGGGTGAACCCCCAACCACAGAAGGGGTGCATTAGCACCGCACGCCATCCGCCCTACACACAAGCGCGTGCGCACACCTACCACATCAAAGAAGAACAACGGTTGATCAAAGTTTGGATTCTTGTTAGTATTCTTGATGGCGTCAGATTGAATCACGTGACCACCACATTCAAACTCGACGCTTGGAGACGTGACGTTTGCCAACTGATATTTCTTCATGTTCCTCACACCCCAACACAACACCTAAAATAACACATTAAATAAATAAACTCAAAATAGACCTTTTTTCAATTCGTGAAATACTCATTTACTCAGGGTTAGCCTTATTATCTCAATGCCAAATATTCATACCAACGGCAGAGTAAAGAATGCAATACTTCAGCAATACAAACACTTCGAAATAGACCTAATCCACTGTTTTCCCATTCTAGASCACGTGTCATTCCCTAGAGTATCATTTCTTTATCGGTTGTGGATAAGAAGACACACGAATATGGATACAACTCAAACAAAGGATCTTATTCTCAAGAGAAAGACACGTGGTCTGACATCAATTTTGGGACTGTTTTTGGGGATGAAAAAGACGTCATCTTGGAAACAAGCCCCCTAAAACTGACAGCCCCACAATGCACTGTAAAGCAGTGATTAAAACATCCAATTACCTCAACGGCTGTCCTTTGAAGAACGGGGCGTATGCCACTGGGAACAATGTAACGGCCTTGGTTGATCGGCGGTAAGTAAGGAAGATCTGCTCCTTCGTCCTGAAAGGCACAATCATATAGACTTGATAAACTGTCTAATTGATGACAATGGTTATCAGTAGTAACACCAGATTTGCGGGTTTGTACACGCCTCGTTTACAGTGCGACTACATCAACCAAGGCCACCCAAAATTTTAAATCAAATTCACAAATTACACTTTTAACGCTGCATAACGCTGCAAGGCCAACTACGCTCTTGGTAATTTTTTTCTTTACCTCGGAATAGCTGATATATAAACATCTTACCAGGAACAATTCAAATGCAGCAAGAATCTCTCCGCCTTCTTCTTTGCCCTTCATCACAGGATACCACAACAGACGAGGAGCTGGAGGCGTTGGGCCGTTAAGTTTAACTGTAGGCTCTGCCACACATCGACCTAAATAGTCATCTTTGCCCTGGAGATATTCAATAAAATATTTGAAGACAATAACAATATACAGTGATACCTTTATACAATATACAGTGGCACCGAAGGACCAGAAAAATGGGTCTATAGTACAGTGTCTGTGAAACAAAGAATGTATGGTGATTTTTTCGGGGCCTAAATATCTGTCCGTAATATAGAGATGTCCGTGATATAGAGGTGTCTGTAAGGACCTAGGTGTGGGTGATTAAGTGTGAGATGGTATATCAGAGTTCATTGGTTTAACTTGAAGGCTTTTCTAATATGTATCATTTGGTTGTATGGCATATAGCTAGATCATGCAGTGTATGTGTGCACACTATTAGCTGGAATGTTTTAGTTGATATGACCATCTTGACTGTGTAGTATGACTACTATGGTATTGCGCGCACGACCTTAGCCTTTTGTGAAAACCATTTGCCTGTGTGCATGCTATATACAACTTAATTATATTATATCTTATAGCTAAATATCAAGTAAAATATGCACCCACTCTATTAAGCCTTTTTGAAACCTACTTGCTTGTATAGTATATAGCTACACATGAATGTAAAGTATGTACACAGGCGCACACGATATTTATCCTTGTTGATACCCATATCTGTAAGGCTTAGGTTGGTGATGCAAAATATAAGCGCACTTTATTAAGCCCTTTTGAAACCTACCCTTTGCTTGTATAGTATATAGCTACACATGATATAAAGTATGTACACAGGCGCGTACAATATGTATCCTTGTTGATACGCATATCTGTAAGACTTAGTTTGGAGTTGCAGAATAATAAAATAATAATAATAAAGTTTATTTATATAGCGCTCATATCCATGAGCATGTCCAAGACGCTTTACAACAGGAATATATGCATAAATTATATATATGTATTTACAATATTTACAATGCTACGTATTTAAAATATTAATAAGTAAATCTAATTATAAAAGGAAAAACTTATCTTAAAAGCCTAAAGGCAATA